ATGAGTCAGAACTGACTCCTGGCAATGAGCCCTTCTTCGTTTTGCATCTTTCATGTAAATATCTTTCTTTTTGACAATACATAGTGGATTCATTCTTAAAAATATCAATCTGACAATCTTTGCCTATTAATTGGAGTGTTTAGACTATTTACATATAATTTGAAATATTTCTTGTTTAAATCTGATATCCTATTATTTTCTTTCTATATTTTGTTCCTTGTTTTTGGACTCATTTTAGATTAATCGAGATATTTTTGGTGATTTCATTTATCTTTATTTTTGATTTAATAGCTCTACTTCTGTGTATCTGATTTCTCTAGGGTTTAAAATATGCATCTGTAATTTATTATAGTTTACTTGGAGCAATCTGGTTGAGAAAAATGGCCCTTCATCATCATTTCTCTTTATCTTAAGCCATGGGGGGGAAACATAAATGCAAAAATGAAACATAAACCCTGAAATAATAAAATAAGAACAACACAACTTAAAATCTAGGATAAGGTGATTAGAACCGTACATGAGTAATAGTAATATGATATTAAAGATATGAGAGTAATAAGAGAGAAATGAAGTGCTTTTGGTTATTTGAAGGAGGGGGATATACTTCAGTGGTTGGGTATGAGAGAATGAATTGAAGAAGGCTTCATGGAGAAAGTGGGGACACAGCCCCGTTGAGTGGTTGTGTTATGAGAAATTGAGATCGATTTGTACTTACCAACTTTATTCATATGATTTTTTTTGAGGAGTGGAAATCATTGATGCATGTCAACCAAAATAATACTAGTAATTATATTGAAATTTAAAAATTGTTCTGGACCTATGATTCTTCTTCATTGTTATTCTATAATAAAGGTTTTAAAAACAAATCAACAATGATCTACAACTGATTCGCAACATTTTGTTGCCATGAGTTGGAGCTGACTTGATGACAACTAACAACAACAAAAACAACATAATATTTATCTTCATATCCCATGCCTCTACAGGATACATAGGGTACAACTCCCTGATTCTTAATAAAATTCTAACTTATTCTAACCTGTGTCATGGGGCATGTAGAGCTTATTGGTACATGGTACACTTGGGAGACTGAAATGTTAACAAATATACAGGACCTGATGAATAGTGCCACTTTGAAGATGAATATTCTTGAAATCTATCCAATTCTGTGAGGTGGCCATTATTCAAAGACCTCGGGAGCTCCCTTTACAGAATTGCTTTCATGGTCCGTTTATATGATGGAGAAGAACATCAATTTCACAGCATCTACCTTTTCACATGCAATCTTTTTCTCAGCTCAGTCACAATGCTGCTTCACCAGACCAGATTTCTAAGAGTACCTTTCATATATATCTAAATACAAGGCACTCCTTAATGCCATTTCAAAGAGTTTCATCCTCAAAGGATGAGGGATATTGCATTAATGGGCTATGAGTTCCAAAAGTCATTCTAAGAAAGGAAGTTTACTTCTCCACATGCCTTAATCATTCAGGGAGATAGTATTCATTCAAACATATTAGTACCTTTATATTGGATTTGAAGGCTTTATTTATTTTATTTTGTTATTTTTAAAATTTTAAATCATTTTATTGGGGGCTCATACAACTCTTAACACAATCCATCCATCCATCCATCCATCCATATGTCAAGCACATTTGCACATTTGTTGTCCTGAAGGCTTTATTTATTATAGTCATACTTCACCAAGAGTAAAATGGTAGAAAGACTTCTTATCCAACCCTGTGCTAGGCATGTGACATGAAGCAAGTTGATTAATTTCTCTGAGCATTGCTTCACCCAATAATATTAGTGCTGTCATTAAAACATGAG